CATAAATACAGTAGGATGTACTTTTTAGAGATATCCCACCTTCCCCTCCTCAGAAGGAAAACCATATAGACTCAAGCTGTAGCTGTGTGCATGTGATGATGAAGTGCCTGGGTAGTCCTCACCTGCTGTATCCCCTCTCTCAGCCCTCTCTCCCATCGCCCTCGGTGCTGACGTCAGTATTGGTGGTGAACCAGACCACAGCGGCCGCAGAGCCCTTTGATCCCACACTCCTCTCTATTAGAGCTCTCATATGGGCTTCGCATAACACACTCACACACACACACACACACACACACACACACACACAGATGCTTTTCAGCCTTTAATTTTGTCCGTGGTTTAATAGACTTTTGAAACAGACCAGCTCAGTCATCAACTGAGCTGTCAGGTGTGCAAAGGCTTAACTAACAAAATCATGGATCATATTAAAGTATTGCTTTATCATACCAACCACGTTATTACTTAGAGCCAAATTATCATGTTGTGGAAATGCATCCGTAATTTAAGAAAAAATGTTCACCCTATGGCAATGCATCAGTGTACAATAAAACTATGATCTTGACACCTAAATTATATCTAATTATATCATCACACTATAATACAATTCTCTAAATCTATATATTATCATCACATAGACCATAATCAGTTCCTAAAGAGTACAAGTCAAGACACAGAACCAAATTACTGTACCTTACAGTGGAGCTGTATTTTTGTGCTACAAGTATTGAGTGACATTATTGTGATAATGTAGAGCTACATGGACCTTCAATAGAAGCACATTAATATAGTACAAAACTACATTTTCACACCATGAAGCTACAGTCGCTGGTCGTATAATAGTTAAATAGCTCTAACTTTAAAGCCAAAGACTATAGAACTACACAGTCGTGCCATAAAATTAATGTTTTACAACCTGTTTCCAAAACACTGACTTGCAAATCAGCTACATCATATTTAATTTTAAATAGTACAAATAATGTAGCTTGGCATTTTCTTGCTGAAATAAGCAAGAACTTACCTGGGGAAAAAAAACAACCACACTATAACCAGCATAAGTTGTGTTCTTCAGAACTTAGCGACAGTTTTCCACTTTCCCTCAACTCGTCTTAGAAGAGTTCCAGCAAAGGTGGAAGTGTTACTGGATTTGCCCTGGATGTGTTTCTTTTCTTTGCATAGCAGAGCTTTTACTTGGATTCTTGGGCATTTGTGGAAGAGTCTGAGTACATGTAAAGATTTCCACTGCGGAACTGTGGCCATTTCGAAATCCCTTTGGATGGTTCAAATGGTAAATGGACTAGTACTATAGCAGTCAAAGCAATTTCTTATTATAAGACTCATTAACACAAGTGCTTACTTCTATACCTAAGTTCTTTCTAAAAAATCTAGCAATCACATACTCAGATACTGATGCATTGGGGGCAACTCATTAATTTCTACTTCAGCATGCAGACAGGAGCAAGAGAAGTAAGCCACCGCCGCTCTAACCTCTGAATCACAGCCAACTGCTGTCATGGCCATTTAAGAATATCGGTTTTATGCTTTGACGTGATCAAAAGAATGAGAGGAGTGTGGGGTTAGGTCATTTGAGGAGGGCTCAGAGTAGAGCAGCTACTCCTACACATCGAAAGGAGCCAGTAGAGGTGATTTTGAGTCAGTTCGATCTGACTAGGATGGGTTAGGTGTTTCACTCATGTCCCACCAGGAGGTTCCCCAGGGCAGACCCAGAACATGCTCGAGAAATGACATGTCTTGGCTGGCCTGCGAATGAATCGGTGTTTGTCATGATTGGCTGTGTGGCAGGCAGGCAGGAGTGGTGGACCCAAAATGCAGGACTCATAGGAAACGAGGTGAACTGAACTGAAAATGCAGCTTTATTGCTGGAACAAAACTTCAACATAAAATAAAACTCACAAAAACAAACAAAATTCTAAACCGAGGTGCTGGAGGACTGGACATTACAAACACACAGCAAGTTGAGGGTACGACGCGACAGGGAGCACAGGAAAACACAGGGCTTAAGTACACAGGGGAGTAATTAGGAAATGGGCAACAGGAGGGAGTAATTAGGCTAACGAGACAGGAGAAAGGTAAAACTGAACACATTGACATGAGACATGAACTTTCAGAATAAAACAGGAAACTAACAGACACAGAGAACCAGAACGGACACTGAACTTGGCAGGCAGACTCACAAGCAGACACAGTGACACCATGGACAGACAGAGGGAACACAGGCAGGCATGAAACAAACACACTAACACATAGCAAACCTAAACAAAAGACAAGGCAGAATAAACAAGAATATAAAGAAACACAAAACACCGAGTCCTCAGACTCAGGACCATGACAGTGTTCCCCGGATAAGCTGGAAGAGGTGGCTGAGGAGAGGGAAGTCTTTGGTTCTGTCCCCACAACATGGCCCCGGATAAGCAGAAGAAAATGGATGGGTGTAAGTTGTTAGCCAGTAAGTGCGCAGGTTTACAGTCACATCCACCCCTTGCAAAGATGGTGATGGCGGAAATCACATCTTGAAGCTTCCAAAGGGGACTTCAGTAATCAGCTGGTCATTAATCGTTTTTGCTCTGCATGGTATCTGTGGTATGGCCACAATAATACACAGTTGAACAAAATATTATTTACTATATAAAGAATACAATTTAATATCCATTTAAAGATAATGTGCTATTAACATTATCTCTCTCTCATAGAGTACTACTAGGTTTCTATCATGCAAACCTCAGTGATTCGGAGCAGCAGACGCCTTTGTAAATGGCAGAAATATACAGAACATTTCACAGCCAGAAGCTTATGTGGAAAAATATGTTTACTTGTGTGAAAGATGTCGCCTTGTTATTAGAGTCTAATACACAGTTTTCCACTCAGGTGAACAGTCTGGATGATTATCCTCTGACAACTTAACAACACAGTAATCGAGGGGAAATAAATAATTCCCTGGCAGAGATCAAATTATCAGCTCACATTGCTGCTTTTGATTCTGCTCAGTCTTCAGGTTTCCATGAACTCATTCCACCTCTCCCTCTCTTCCTTTCTTTTTCAGTTGTTCCCTCTTCTTTTCTCACCCTCCTTCCTCATCAGAGGTGAAAATTTACCCAAAGGGAGTCTCTCTCTTTCCTTTCCTCTCTCCTCCTCTCATCTTCACACCTTCCTCATCACTTCTGCCAAGTTTCCCCCAAAGGTGTGCTGCTGCTTGCTGACTCGCTGCAGGAAACGATAACGAGCTTAGAAGAAATTTTTATTGCCTATTCAAACTGTTTATTTTCAGACTTAAAAGCTAACAAGATTTTTTTAAGGAAATTTGGACTCAGCTTTTGTTGTTATATATTGCAGCTCTAATTCTGGGTGTCCGTGGTGCTGTAATAAAAGCAAACAATTAAACAAATGCTAACTCTGAGACAAATGTCCCAAATTGCAGAGAGATAAGAGGAAATCCAGGTTTCTCTCTTTTAAGTGAAAGTGACTTGAAAGCCCAGAAACTTCACCATAAAATAAAAATACAACTTTAGAAGTGAAATTTCTTTCTAGGTATCAGGAGATACTGTAACAACACATCTAAGCAGTGAGAAAGTTGTGAAAGATAGAAGAAGTTCAGATCAGAGTCCTAATTATTCATGGCTCAGATTCAACAAGGGGCTGGAAACTTTCTTCAGAGACTTTGGTCCATTCTGACATGATAGTGTCACACAGTTGCTGCAGATTTGTGCAGATCCATGATGTGAGTCACTTCCCAGAGACGCTGAGATCTGGTGACTGTGGAAGACATCTGAATACAGCAAACTTATTGTAATGTTCAACGGGCCAGTTTGAGATGATTTGAGGTTTGTAACATGGTGTGTTATCATGTTGGAAGGAGCCATCAGAACATGGAATCTGAATGTGGCAGCAACAATAAAAACTTACCACTGCAGGCAACTAGTTTTCAGTCTTCTGTTTGCCAGTTTTGCTGAGTCTGTGTGAACTGTAGCCTCAGTTTCCTGCACTTAGCGGACAGGTGTGATACCCAGAGTGGTCTTCTGCTGCTGTAGCCCATCTGCTTCTGCTGCTTGTGCACTCTTTTGCATACCTTGGTTTTAACACATGGTTAGTTGAATTACTGTTGCCTTTCTATCAGATTAAAGTACGCTGGCTATTTTCCTCTGACCTCGGACAATTACGATCCATTTTCAGTCAGAGTATAGCACTCACTGTTTTATTTTTTCATATGATTCGCTGTAAACCCTAAAGATGTTTATGTAGAAACATCTCAGGAGATCAGCAGTTTCTGAAATATTCAGACCAATCAAAGTCACTTTAAATCACCCTTCTGACCCATTCGGATACTCAGTTTGAACTTCAGCAGCCTGAAGAGTTGCCTGCTGAGTTGCTTTCATGTATTTGGCTGATTAGATATTTGTATTAATATGCAGGTAAACAGGTGTAGCTAACAGGGTGCATATGCATCCATCAGATATGTCACTCCACAGTTTCAGTTTCCCCTGATGGAGATCTCTGAATCTGTTTGCAAAGTGACAATTTCTGGTTTGTCTAGTATATGTTCAGCCTCCCCAAGACTAAATTTGGGCCTCAGTAAGAACAAAACAGGCTGCAAGTGGTGTTATGACCAAAAGGTTGCCTGGCAGGAATTACACAGCGGAAGGCAAGACATTAGGCAGGGTACATACACTTTAACAAATAAATGTTAGGTGCATATGAAGGAGGATTATACCACAATAAAAATAGATACTAGAAAATAGATACTACTACTAAAAAAACTACTACTAAGAAACTTTAGTAGTTGTGTTCAAGACAACTACACTCTCTGTTTTGTTTTGTTTTGTGTGTGTGTGTGTGTGTGTGTGTGTGTGTGTGTGTGTGTGTGTGTGTGTGTGTGTGT